TTTTTTTTTATGAACTTATTAATAAAAAACGTTTTCGCAACGTTTTCTATTAAAATAATTAAAAAACGTTGCGAAACGTTTTTTATTTGTTAAATTACATGTTAAAAAACGTTTCACAACGTTCTTTAATGTTTTAGCATAATTTAGAGGTCTTAAAATCATTTTTAAATTTAAATCGGTCCGGTCCAGGTTGAAAGACCGGTCTTTTTGGGACCGGACCGGACTGGACCGGACCGATCCAACCCTATGCTATATTCATTTAGTTGTAGTATCTTATAATAAATTTACCTGCACTTTGTGCAACTTAACAAAAAGTCCAGAGATTTAACTGATTTTATGAATTAATATAATGACTTCGCATTTTACAACTTTTTAATTTTTTATAATTTTTATAAATTGTTTGTGCTCTTTATTATTTCATATTATTTTGACGATTAAAATAACATAAGATATTGCGGCTTCTCCGTGTATTTTAACTAATCTTCAAAAATGTTTATACATATTTTTTGAAATTTCACTTAATACCAGTGACTGAAGGGCGCGGAGCAACTGGTAAACAAATCATGAAATAAATAGGAATTACCATTTACCAATGTACTGTATGTTGCGGAACAACCAAAGGTTGCGGAACAAAGTATGTAAAAAAAATCATGTGCATATATTATGTTCACGGAACTTTCTGACTTTATTAAAGCTTTGGTTAAGGTTGGAGCATAGTGATGCTCGCCTGAATTTTTGAAAATAAAATTCTCAAAAACGATACTTGCTGCATGTTTTTTGAAGCATTATATGCAGAGAAAGTCAACTTACCACAATCAATACAGGGAACTCGTCTAGGAGAATTCCAATGAACCTTGTACCCTTCTGGGCGATAACATCCTTCATTGCAAACTGCGCCACTTCGTAGGATATAAAGCAACGATAAAATCCCATAGTTTCTTCTTTTGAATAAATGTCTAACTCTAATTATCCGAATAAAATAATTTTTATTTTAAACTATTTTCTAATAATATATAACCTTTGAAAAAATGGGTCTGGTTCATTTCACTGACGATCATTTCACTGACATAAAAATAAATATTGAATATGAAATATTTTATTATAAAACTTTTTTGGATATTTAGTTTAGATCTAATAAATATTGATACTTCCATCTTAGACGGTTAGTAGATAGAATAACATATAGTTATATCTATTGTATTTTTTTTTATTTTTTTATATGTTAATTAAAATAATAAAAGAAATGCGCGTTACTAACAATATATATAAACTTTTTAGTTTTTGTTATCACAACAAAACATTAATACATTTATTAAAAAAAATAAACTATTGTTAAAAGTATGTGCTATTCCCCTAAGGAAATCTATAGTAGTAGTTTTTTTTATTTATTAAATCTAACAAAGAAATACTTGTTACTAACAAAAAAATTCCCTATTTCATATAAAGATATATGTAAAAATATTTATAAAATTTTTATATTTAATTATATATATAGGTCGGTGAAACGTTTGTCAGTAAAATAACCCTGTCAGTGAAACGTTTGTCGGTGAAACGTTTGTCGGTGAAATAACCCTGTCGGTGAAATGTTTGTCGGTGAAACGTTTGTCAGTGAAGTAATTGTCAGTAAGTTAAACGCGACCCATTTCAGGTGAGTAATATAGATTTAATTTCTAGCAAAAATTTCCGCCTAGAGATTGGCCAAAAATTTGCTGAAGCCTAGATTCTGGAAAAAAATGCTAAGAAACTCTTGAAAAATTCCCCGCATAAGCTTTAGTGCATGAGCAATTCCAATGATTCTTCATAAAATCTCTGGACTTAACCTCATAGCCCCATCTGTCCCATCCACTATAATATACCTTTCTTGGCTTTACTTCAGTAATAATCTTTACAAATTTCCAGCATTTGAAGCAGATAGCCATTTGACTTTTATGAACACTAGGCCTACAATAGCTATAATGATCAACTTTTAACTCAGTGTTAATATAGTACGTCTTAGTTATTCCTTGCCCAAATGAAGAGAAGAGACAGTGTACATGGTAAATGCTATATTCTTTCTTAGAAAGTAGCTCCTGCTGTAAAGCACCTCTACGAACACTCGAACAGCCCATTGCTGCGGTGTTTTATGAGGTCTAATAATAGATAAATCATTGTATTGTTTTTCTATTTTGTTTATTTTACAATCTGATTATAGTCATAATAACCACATTTTCCTTGATAATTTTTTACATAGTCCAAATCATATCTGGGACGAAGATTGACGGATTTATTAAAAACCTTGTCTATAATGGTTTTAATAGTTTGTCCAGGCATAATTATTAGCAAAATGATGTTTTTATTAATTTTATCGATTTATATTGATTTATAGCGTTAGAACTTATAATAAAGAAAAAAACATGTTTCAAATTTACTATATAGAATTGGGCCGGAGTTAGATTATGTAGTGATCTACAGTACCAGACTGGGGATTGTATTACAATATAGTTTTAAGTTATATAGAAATATAAAAATTCAACATTTTCAAATAAAATGACCGAGCGTCGAGCGAAGTCTTTAAAATTTTAATAACTTGAAACCTATTTGTATTTAGGTAATTCCAAAAAACTTAAATGAGTGCATTATAACTTTAAATACCTCATTTTTCTGAAAATTTCATATTTTCCCTACAGCTGTGGTCAAATATACTAATTTATCATGGTAAAAAAATATTTTTATTTAAAGAAAAGAAAAGTTCATGAAAGAGATGATTATTTAAAACACTTTAGCAGAATTTAGAATGAGATTAATAAGAAAGATAAGATGGAAAAATATGCACGTCTATTTAGTAAGAGACTTCTAGATTAATGGCTAGCTTAATACGAAAAAAAATTCGATAATAAAATTTATTATTGTAAGACCATATAGTTTTGTTAAACTATACTGACTTTACACCCAATGACTCATGTACCAAAATTTTAAACTTTAAAAAAATTTAGGTGAATAACTAAATAACTTTTTTCTGCATTAATATAGAATTATACGATTTATATATTATCTATTATTGGAAAAAAAGTAACAAAGTTTAATTATAACAGTAAATAAAAAATACACCTTAAATAATTTTATTAGCACTCGCACGCGCATGGACACGTACGGACAGACGAACATTGTATGGTTTTCGGTTTTATACGAAACTCTTTGATCAAACGCATCCTCTCCGCTTCGGAAAATTACTGTTGCTATTCCAATACCAAAAATATAGTTCAAATTAATTAGGAGTATTTATTTAGGAAGGATGTTGGATTTAGGGTTCTTGAACTTCATCCTCTTCATTTATTTGTTCATTTTGTTCAGGTAAAAGTTGAATATGACTATTATTACTATTATCGGCTTGACTTTCTGCCTCTACATTATCTATTAGGCTCTGATTTTCCTGGTCTTGTGATTGCAAATTGTTCAACCCCATTTCTGAATGACTATTTCTCATTTCTAACTCCTTTTTTCTTTTTTCTTCCAATTTATATTGATTTTTACCTAATTTATATTGTCTCCAAGTTAAGTAGGCGGTAATTACTGTTAAAATGAATCCGGGAGCTCCAAGACCAACACCAGTGCCAAGTGCAATCTTATCTCCATAGTCTAGGGGAGGTGGTTCAGTAAAATCACATACTGTAGGGTTGAAATTTATTGTCTCGTTCAATGGACTACCGGTGCTAAGATTGTAAAACTGACAACTACCTTTCGTAAACATGTCAGAACATTCACCCACTTTTATACTTTCAATTGGTCCTTCTTCAAAGATAAGTAAACATTTTTGATTAAGCATGGTTAAATTATGGATGGGACAACCAGCATCACAACTCGTATCTGGACCAAATATCCGAGAACATTTATTACCTTTACAACAAACACAGACATCACAAGAAGACTCTAACTCAGTATTACTAAGACCATTAACAGATGGACGATTAACTACCCAATTAAATTCAGCATTTCTATTCGGATCATCTACTGAATCAGCTGATATGCAAAGATGCTTGTCTGAATTTTCTTTTATACATAATGCTTTAACTCCGTTATTATTTTCATAATTTAAATTCTTTCTATGGCGTCTTTCACAAGCATCTATTCTACTCATTTCATGACACGCAACTAAGCTATCAGGTTCAAAACATTTAGTTTGAACATTTAAACAATCATCATCTCCACAACAAATTTTTTCATCCAAATGGAGTTGCTTATTTTCCTTAATTAAATCACAGATCGGCTTCATTGCAGTGGTGGAAATAGAGGTTAGTTGAAATGGTTTATTAATTTCTGATATAGAGCTGTCATAAGCTGGTTTGGCGCTCGTGAAAAAGTAGTAGAAATGGCGTTAATGAAAATACAACTATGCTATTATATATGAAAAATTGTTGTTGCATAGACCTTTCATGAGATTAACCGGTTTTAGCTAACTTCCCATACTTCCATGGGAATCGACATTCACGAAAGTACGGGTTAACCAAAATTGTATAAATATCGCATATTTTTCCCAAAGAAAATTTTCAAATTTCTCGCACTTTGAAAGAAATACCCTTTTCAGCTACTATGCCTTATATTAGATTTTTATTTAACTAATCGGATATTATTATCAAATAAGGAAACCTAATGAATGCATTGTATTATTTACTATATATGGCCATTTGAAGAAAATTTCACATGTAAACATTTAGATTTGAAATTTGAAATGATAATCATAGTTTCCTAGATTCTAACACAAAAACCACAGCCTAATAAGATGATTATCGGGGTTACAATTGCACCATGCTTGATCATTACCCATTCGAGCACCAACTTTATTCAAAATACTAAAGAAAAAAATTTTTTTACCCAAAGAGCTATATCCGAAAATATTACTTAAGTTTTTTGAACGCAAATAAACTTCACTAGAAATTTATAACCTATCTAAAACTTTATTTTACCTCTTTCGCGTACAGCTTGTTTTTTTTACCAATAAATTTAAAGTTAATGTCATAGGCATGTGCTTATTCGAATTAAGGATAATAATCAGTTGCGCCATGAGATTAGAAAAATGAAGGCGAAGGTGCATGAGATGGAAAAAGTTCTTACTTCCATAAAACTGGATAAATTTGAAAATAACGAGTTATTACATAAAAGAGATAACCATTTGGGATATTTTTATAATAACTTAGAATTATAGAGACATAAAATACAAAATTCGTCGTTCTCGTTATTTCGTTGGTTTCGAATCTTTTTCTTTTTTTTTAGGTCATCGGATTCAATTGTGGTGAACACAATATGAATCACGTGACTATTTATTCATTTTTCCGAACCGGATAAATTTAACCACTTTTATAAAATCATTAACATTAACTCCTTTTAACTAAATAAAGTGATAATATTTACTTTTTATTTACTAGTAAACTTATGTATCTATTTCCCCCAATTTCAGGAGATGCATGTGTTAACGATCATCCTTATTCTTACCTTTTTTAGTCTCCGGCTTGTGAAATGGTAAAAAAATATACCGTTTATCCCGCTTTTTTCTCATAATTATTCGAAAAAAGGTCTAGCATAAGCTTTCGAGCAAAAAAAAAAATAATAATAGGGCCAAAGACAACACATCTTTTTCTTTATTAAAATAAATACTCTGCAGGAGTGCGGGTATACATTTTCACATGATAAATTGGCATAGTCAAATCACATGCTCATGCCATACATCAATACTGTTACTGCGCACGATTCCTTGTCTTAATTTCATGCTGGCTAATATACTTTTATTATTGATGAGGGAGTTAGCAATGCAAGGATAATCAGTTTTTTCATACTTTTATTAAAATAGATTTAGGTAAAGTTTACGCCAATGCTCAGCAAAAATAATCATGTGGAACTGCCTGCGGAAATCTGAAATTTTTATAAATACCCTGCCAAATGAAAGTCAACGAAGGTTTTTTATATAGAACTGCGCCACGAACGAAAAGAAATCCTATCTTCTTATATAATAGTTCTTCTTTTAGCCTCCGGGCATCATTCTTTAGACACAAATATAATAAGTGAATAGGAATGAGAGTTTTATATTGTAACTTATCATATACTGTACCTACATCAAAGCAAAGCTACCTAACGAATACTTCAATAAATTTTTATTAAATAAAAAACTTTCTCTTGCGTAAAGCCTCACGGCCAAGCATTTACGAAAAAAAATATTATTTTTATTCATTGCTTGAAACATGTTGTGAGGATATGGGTTATGGGAATGTGGTCTATTAATACTTTCTTTTTGATATCATTTTCATGCGGTTAATTATTCCAGGTCTATATTTTCGAGTAGGTTCTATTTTCCATTTATGCTAGTGTATATGGATTTATATTTTTGCCGTACGATCGTAAAAAAAAAGGCTATTTCTAGCGAAATGTCCTATATTTTTATTTTTTATTTCTGGGAGAAAAAAAGTTCTAACACTTTCGCATAATCTAAGATAAAAAATCGACGATTTCTCAAGGTAGGATATTAAAAATGATGTCGTACACACGTGACTAGAATTCAATGCATATGTACTTATTTGCGCCTCATTTCTTTATAGACAGATCAAACCGATTTTCTTCTAATATTCTGAATACTCTGAAGAGATTGAAATCCATTGGATTTAGGTTACAGCTCTTCTTAACCAGAGGAGAAAAAAAAAAGTCGTTCCCGAATGTAAACGTTTCAAACGAAACCAAACTTAGTCCTAGCACGCTAGGTAGTTTCTATCGACATCAGAAAATTCCACGAGAGACTACAATGGTTAAAATCGAAGAAATGGATTGAAAAGGAAGGAAATAAGAAATTAGTTAGTAGTGTGAAATAAAAATGATGCTGGGACACTCATTTATGGTCTAGTATTCGAGTACTCCCTCCCTCTTAGAGCGTTTATGACTCTTTGTGCATCATTTATTTAAAACGCTATCTTCCTAACCATTTCTTTTTACATTTCTTAGCCGGAAGGCATTTATCTGAAAATTCAATAAAGTTTATCTCTTTTTCTCATTAATATTTGAAATTTCTTTTTTGCATGCTAAAATTTTGCGCGCAAAATACCTGACCTTCATATTTAATCTCGATTATAAATACATTACAGATAAACTAACGATAAGCTTAATAAATAGGGTATATCAACGGCTTTTATATCACTCGCGCAATCCTATTCCTTTAGAGCAAATTTCAGATTATTTACGACATACAATAGGGATTTACCAGAATTCATTAGACCGGAGTCGCAAAACTATGGATCGAAAAAACCTGCGTGTTGACAGAGTCAACCCTGAATGTCCAACACCCTTATTTAAAATGATTTTTGGCCAGCTTAATTGGGCAATAATTTAAAATTTAATGTGATGCTAAATTATTAATTATTGTCCAATTAACAACTACTTTTAATAAGGAAATATATATTATGCAACAAAATATTAACAAGATAATAATAAAGTAATAGTATATCTAGTGTAAAGAATTCGAAATGCCTTAGTCTCAGTGTTGTCACTGGACTAATCCAGGGTTTGCTGGACTGGAACTGGACTGGACCAGATTGGACTGGCTAAAATCTCTTAATTTAATAATATGAAAAATATTATATTACGCTATCATAGAACAAATGTAATTTTACTTCACATTTTTTTACAAAATAAATCTTTATCATATTTATTTAATATTAATTATTTACAGTATTGATAATTAAAATTATTAAAATTACAAAGTATTAATATAAGAAGGGGGACCCAATTCTTCTACAAATAAATCGGCTAACTTCCATTTTGCCTCCGGATCTTGTTGTGGATGTTTTCTTGATCCACAAATTTAATATTCGATCAATAGTTTGTGAATCTTCATTATTATTAGACTCAATAAATATTGGATCGTTATTACATTTATACATATTATGAAAAGAAGTTATAGCTTACATAAACACGATCGTTAAATTCAATACATGATAAGCAAATTGCTAAATGATTGTATTTATTTGCCATTTAAGAAAGAACTTCTATATAAGGTGTTAATCTATGACAGCGAGACATGGTAAAGAACCTTCTTTTCTGAAAGTTTTATTGTAAAAAAGATAGACGTGTATAATTATAATTGGTTAAGCTATAATTAAGCTATACAGTCTAACCTCGATATACCGATATTCGATATACCGATATACTATTAAAAACTTGTTATACCGATAAAATTTTATTTTCCCACTATATGTGAGGACATATAAATATCGGTATAACTTTGATATAACGATATTTTCTAAAAATTTCATATATGTCCCGACATATCGTTATATAAAGGTTTGACTGTAAACATGTGACCAGATCATCTGATATTGAACGTCCAATTAATTGTTCAAATTGTTCCAAATGGACTGGACCTGAACAGTCCAGTGGACTGGACAAACCATGTGATAACACTGCTTAGTCTATACGCAGTTACTATAGAAAAGCATTAGGTTACATGTAGTTGCTGCGCATTAAGACAAATTTCACAACAAAATATTAATTATTCACAAATTCCGGCCAAATTAAATGTCAGCCGATGCATTATCTCTGCAACACAGAGAAAATCATTCCCATATAAGTGATTGTTTATATTTACACAACATTTTATATATAAATATTCAAATTTGCACTTTTCGTTTGACTTTATTTTTTTTTTTTCTTTAAAAAATAAAAAAAAAATGAAATGTCTTCAAAATTTTTGGCAGAGTTATCCAATGATTACGAGAAACTTTTTGAAACTNGTAGATCGATTGTATTCCTGTCTCTTATACACATCTCAAAATTTTTGGCAGAGTTATCCAATGATTACGAGAAACTTTTTGAAACTGAAATAGGATATGATGTTATTATTTATGCAGGAGAAGAACAAAATGTTAAAGAAATTCATGCTCATTCAAATATTTTATGTGCTAGGTCTCAATATTTTCGTACTGCATTTTCTAATGAATGGGCTAAAAAAGAAGATGGAAAATTTATTTTCAGAAAACAAAATATTAGTCCACATTTATTTGATATTATTCTTAGGTAATACATGAATGACCTTTATGATGTTTTTTTTCTTTTTTTAAAAAAAAATTCTGGGTAAATTATTAATCATTAGTTTGTTAAATTACATTTAGATTCCTTTATTGTGGAAATATTGAATTAAAGAATTTACAAGGGCCAGATGTATTGAACTTGTTGATGGTGGTGGATGAACTTAATATTCATTCATTGATTACTTATATTCAAGAATATTTGATAGAAAATCAAACTGAATTTTTACATCAAAATCCAACCGTTATTCTTGAAACTTTTTACCAACATGAAACATTTTCAGATTTATGGAATTTTTGTCTTGAAAAAATTTGTGAAGAACCCAAAATATTATTTAATTCTGATAATTTTATTAATTTAAAAGTTCCTTTATTAGAATTATTATTGAAACGGGATGATTTGAATATGGATGAAATTGAAATTTGGGATAATTTATTGAAATGGTGTTTCACACAACAGAATTTAATGAATGATCCAACAAAATGGAGCAAAGATGATATTATAAAAATTGAAAGATCATTACACAGATTTATTCCATTAATTTGATTTTATGATATTGAACCAACAGAATTTTTTTACAAGGTCTATTGCTATAAAGACATCTTACCACAAGACTTAATTCATGATCTTTTAGAGTTTCATATTGTTCCTGATAAGAAACATAAAACTAATATACCACCTTCACGAAAGCAAAATTTAAAATTTAAGCTTGATTCAAACTTAGTTGAACCAAATCTTATTCCCCTTTTTGCTTCATGGATCAATAGAAAAGAATCTTCATATTACGATAAAAAAGTTATTCCCTACGAATTTAAATTATTATATCGTTCAAGTAGAGATGGAATTGGTAATAAATCATTCCATAGAAATTGTGATAATAAAGGAACTACTATTTGGATAGCAAAAATTAAAGACTCAACAAAATTAATTGGAGGTTATAATCCACTTGATTGGAATGGATATTGTTGGAAAAATACTAGTGATAGTTTTTTATTCAGTTTTGCAGATTGGAAAAATATTTCTAATGCCACAACAAAGTTATCTTACATCAATAGTGGAAAAGAATGGGCTATTTATTGTAATAATAAGTATGGACCACAATTTGGTGATTTATGTTGCCCTAATTCCAATAATTGGACTTATGATGGTTATTTAGAATACTATCCTAATTTAGATATTCCAAAAAATAAAACAATAGAGGATTATGAAGTATTTCAAGTAATTAAAAATTAACGAAAATGAAGAAATTTATTTTTAATAATGAGTAAATTATGTTAACAATCGATTTGTAACTTGATGTCATAAAATGAACTTGTATTTTATTTTATCTTATTTTTTTTATTATAAATAAACCATTTTTATTGATAACAGTTAGGATAGTACCTATAATTGGCTATAAATAACAAGATATGACATTTACCATCAAAACATCGATGGTTTAGTTCCAATTACTTATTTGAAAAATTCTTAAAGAATCTAATCCAAAAATTGAATTATTCAGATCTTTTATTTGAGATAACAGTTATAAAGTTTATCAATCTCTTGCACTCCACAATTAATATGAGCTAATTCATATAATATTTTTTTTTTTTGACTTGATGGAGGTGATTATATTATAAACATTGTATATTAATACTTTGCTGAGTTACTTAATTTCTAAATTCATTTACAAGATTAATTCTAGTTTTACTGATATTCTTGGTCTCAATTATTAATGTATTATATTTAGCAGGTTTTAAATTAATTATTTTACATACTAACAAAAGACGTAAAATTCTTTAATAAATATACATTTTCTTGGAAGTAACAATTTACATAAGATACAAATCCAATTTTTTTATGATGATTGAAATATTCCTTATTTTATTATAACGAATGAATTTCTAAAAAATATTATTTGTTTAACAATTGGTTAGATTGAAGTAGGTCGATTGTATTCTTAACATGTTAATTTAAATTTGTTGTAACAACGACATTTTATAGTGTAATCATCAATCTAAAAATTATTAAATTACATTATCATTTGACTTTTTATTGTTACGTCATTGTTTTGAAGACCGGGACCATGAAAAGACTGAAATATTACATACTTAAAAAGACTAAATTTTATTAGCAAATTAGTTGGGAATATTATAATAAATATTTTAAAATATGTGTGACTTTCTGGTACAAATAGATTAGTAAAATGTTCAAAAAAAGAAAAAATAATCAAAAATCATATAACTGTTGATCATTTTATAGAACCCTTATTTGGTAAAAAAGATTTACAATTTACTAAATTAGTTTGTACTAGGGATTACTTAATGAATCATGGGGTTACACAATGTTTATGAATGTAACTTTATAAGTAGAATTTCGGAGACCGTTCCAGAAATTTTTTTTTTTTTCCTGCTTCAAACTTATTTTAAAAAAATTTTACAGTATATTTATTTCATTATGTCTGTTGTTAGAGAAAATTTAATTGGTGCTGCAATTCGTAGAGCAGATGCACTAGTAGATTATAATATTTACGATAATAACGATAATATAGACAAACGATTAGAATTTCAAAAACAAGTAATTCTTGCTGATGAATCACTTACAAAAGATGAAAAATCTGAAGCAATAAGAGAATTGAATAAAATTTATGACGGTAATAAAATTGTTTTAAATAAGGGAACAAGAAGAGTTTGTGAAAATTGTAACCAAAAATGTTTGGCTACATTATATTGTGAATTTTGTGTTCGAAATTGTTTAAAAGCAAAATTTTCAAATTGGACATCTGGAAATGATGACATTGATAATTTAGTACAAGAATGTCAAATGAAAACAGCTGAACCATATTGTATAGTTGAATGGATTCCATATAGTAATTTAATAAATATTAATTATTTAACAAAAGGTGGATGCTCCGAAATCTATACAGCAGAGTGGATTCATGGATGTTATTATGGGTGGGATTCTAAAGAACAACAATTAAAAAGATATGGAAACCAAGTTGTAATACTCAAAAAATTAGAAAATGTTGAAAGTGCAAATAAACGTTGGTTTGAAGAGGTTTGTAATCTAATAATGTTACAATTATTTATTTAAAAAATTTTTATAATATTTTCTTTATTTTATAGGCTATTTCACATTTAAATTTAAGTAATAAATGGTCAGATACGATTGTTCAATGTTATGGTTTGACGCAAGATCCATTAAATGGAGATTATATGCTTGTAATGAATAAATTGGATATAGATTTAAGAAAATATTTACAGCAAAATCATAATCAACTTACATGGAAAGAAAGAATTCAAATTGCTGCTGAAATAATTTTATCACTTTTACGAATTCATGATGAAAATGCAATTCATAGAGATTTGCATTCTGGAAATATATTACTTAGAATTGGTGGACATTGTATTATTAGTGATCTTGGATTTTGTGGACCTGCAGATAGACCATTAAAAAGTATATATGGAAATCTTCCTTATATTGCACCAGAAGTTATTGCAGGAAAAAAAACTACTTTTGAATCTGATATTTATAGTATTGCAATGCTTATGTGGGAAATTTCATCTGGACAACCCCCTTTTAATAATTATGAGCATGATTATTATCTTGCAATGAATATTGTTAATGGTATGAGACCAAAAATTGTACCAGGAACTCCTATAGAATATAAAAATTTAATGATACAATGCTGGGATGCTAATCCGTTAAAGCGACCTGATACTGTTACACTCATGGAAGAAATATATAAGCTTAATTTAATTTATCAAACTAAATCAGATGATTTGGTTCAATTAAAAGAAAATGATAGTTTATATATGAATAGTTCAGAAAATTATACTAGCAGTAGCAAGTTATTTACAAGTAAAATTCATCAATTTGAAAATCTTCCTGAACCAAGAAATGCAACAGAAGGTATTTATTATAATATTAAATACATCATTAAAAGAAAAAGTTTAATAACTAATAAAATATTTCCTTTTTAATATTATAGAAGAACAACAGGGTATAAATTAAACAATTTTATAATTTTTATTTATTAAATAATTAATTGATAAATTATTTCCTTTTATTAGCATTTCACAGTAACAAATCATATGATTTTCATATCCCTAATAATAGTAAGTATTTATGAAGTTTATATTAATGATTAATACAGTATAAGATATTTATTAGTTGATTTTGCTTTTTTAGTCGATGATATTGGTAACTTGGGTTCTCAGAATAATAATTCTTCAAAAATAAGTAAGTTATTTTATTTTAATATTTATTTTTATTATGAATTTGTATTAATTATTTTTAAAATTTTAGCTAGCAGTAACAAATCATTCAAAAGAAGATTAGAAAATGGCAAGTAAAATAATTGGTATATTTGTCTAATTGTTTAATATTAAACGCTATTTTTGTTTTGATTTTCAGATTATCAAGAAATAATGCAACAAATGAAGAGAGATCATATTAATATTGATGGTATATGCAAATAATTATTTATAATAATTAGTATATTTAGCTTAATTTTACATTTCCAAATTTTTTTATTTATAGATGAAGAAGAAATATATAATAATCCAAATTTTCATTCTGAAGAACAAGATGAATTTGAACTTCCCGAGAGTAAGTATTTTAAAAGTTTAAGTTTGTTTTATTATAAAAAAAGTTTTTAATTACTAAATTCCATTTTTTATTTAAAGTGATGTCATATTTATGTCATATTTAGATATGGATGAAATTAATTGACATTAACATTACATTATTATATTTAAAGTTTGTTATAAATTATTTAAACACTAAGTCTAGAGTATTAAAGATTAGACATCTTTAAAGATTCTTAGTTTGTAATTTAAATAATTTAATTTCTTTCATATTATTACTTATCAATAAATTACTTTATGAAATTATACTATTATTCTCAAGTTACAAAAATCAATGAAATATTTATTTTTTGTAAGTTTGTAATTTCTTTTATAGTTTACACCTCAAAATATTGGCGAACTTTAGCAATTTTTTATTGTATTTTTAATTTAGAATTTTTATTTTTGTTTTTTTATGATATTTTCACAACCAACTTGTTTTGAGATGACAAATAAAGAAAAAATCTATGTCTTATTATCTTTGAAAATTTCTTTGGAATATCTGTTATTTTCTGAATTCTTTCTGTACGAAAAATTGTAAAGTGTATTTGAATTATCGTACTCAAATATGTTTCAAAAATTACGGGACATTATATAATTCCAGAAATTTCTTATGTAAGATTTCAATACCACCACACGGAATTCGGACCAAATTTGGAAAATCCGTCTAGGCCACAGTTAGAACCTCTACCTATTTGCCAAAATCTGAAACTTCGTTTGTTTACGCTATATCACAGTATATTAATACAATGACACATACAATTCCTTGGATTTAAATTTCTAGTTTTTGTGAATATAATAAACCATAAATACGAATGTACTATATAAAAAGAAAATTGCACCAAAAGAATATAACTAAAATCAGGGAATCGGATGGAAAGGAGAAAAAATCTGACGATACATAAAAAAAAAGATTACATAGGAATTTTATTGTTTTGGTAAAAAAAAGAATGCACTTGTATTAATTAGCCAAGCTAAGTCATGATCAGTGTTCTGGGTAAAAATGTTTTTAGTTAGATTTTCTATAAAAAAAATTTTTTGAACTCATATGTCATGTTAGGATTTTGATATTCAATTTAGCGTTGACTATAGGTAATAATAACAAAAGGAAATTACATCATATTTAAAATTTTCTATGTTAGAATGATACCAAACTTTAATTCTTAATTGCTAATGATATCTCATTAATATTTTCTTTAGTTAATGGCTAACTGTAGCCTGTTAGTTGCGTCGCAGCAGGATTAAATGAGTTTAAATTAATAAAAATTTTTGTTTTATATTTATATAAATTAGATCTTATATAATATTAACATGTTTTTTACTTTTAATTTAAAAAAAAATTACTTATTCTAACTAAAAAAAAAATCATACAAATTCAATAAAATAGTTTATTTTGATTATATCACCGATCCAAACCTACGAGTTGAAATAATAAGTAAAAGACGCACTACTGTAAAAAAAAAATCACGTTTACCATAGGACTGCAGCGTTAATCCAATCGATCCGACGATCCGATCATTAACCTAGATCTAAGCCTAAAAGACAAAAAAAATCGGGATGAAAATATTAAAAATTCGGTTTTAAAAAAAAATTGGAAAAAAAAATCATTAAAATATCAGTTTTAAATAACCGAAAAAGAATAATATTAAAAAAGTTCCAGATTATAAAATCAACGTTCGAATAGCTAGCAGGAATAGGAATGACCGAAAATAAAACATAATTAATAAGATAAATTAAGCTTTTTTTCGTTAAAAAGTATCCGATTAAAATTTCATTAACCGGAACTGTATTAGTGATGAAAATATCCAACACGTGTACACATGACCGACAGCATCAAATTATATAATTATGATTTGGCAATATTGGTATAATATCTATTATAAGATTTTTTCTTTTCAACTTAATATTAAAATTTCCTATCATATTTTTAAAAATATGAAAAAAAAAAAAAAAAATATTTAAAAGATATTTATTAACCCTTGAATAATAAATAGTATTAAACCATAAATTATGTAATATTTTTTTCAAAAAAAAAAAATAATATAAAACTTATGTAGCGTCAAATTTTGTGATGATTTATTTTAAAATTTATAGATATAATCATAGAAAAAAATTATTTTAAAAGAAATTTATATTTTTAAACAAGATTTCATGGGTAATTTTATTTATTCATTTGAATGTTTATCCTGCTCTAATGATTGAAAAAATTTTGAATATGAAAAATAGAATAAAGATTAGGACGAAAAAATCAAGGACTATTAGAATCACGTTACCTTGACGCTCACAATCCCGACAAATCGTAATCTCAAAAATTCAAAATCCCGATACTCATTGTCCCAACATTTAATATCCTCACGAATAAAAAATATATTAAAAAAATTATATCCTCAAAAGTGTTTGTACAGTTTGAATACTTTATTCAGGGTAGAAAATAAAAATTTTCTAAACATTATGTTGAACATTATGATAACAGAATAACAAAATAAAGTTGATTGATTTACAAAAAAGAAATCCTTTTAAAAAAAGTAATTTAAATCATGTAAATAATAGTAAATAAATTATAATATGTATGACCTAATCAGCAGAGTCACATATTAGTTAAGAAATTCAGATTATTGATTGTAGAATAAAATCCAATTTTGTTACTAAATTCAAAACTTTCACAAAATAATAATTACATTGCATCTTTTTTTTTTAAGAAAAAACTAGAGTAACTTGGTAATTATTAGTGAGTTATAATCATTATACTGTCAGATTGACTCGAAAATTTTGGGTCGGGTCATCAAACGTTTTTATAATTAAATATAAAAAAAATTGATTTTTTATTAAAAACGTCAGACTTGACGTTTTTGTAATTAAAAAATCAAAAAAATGACTTTTTTAGTTAAAAAACGTCAGGCTTGACGTTTTTGTAATTAAAAAATCAAAAAAATGA